GACAACAGTGAATGCCAGCAATGGGCAGCTCGTCCGTGCTCCAAGGAGCAAAGCTGTTCCGGAGTTTTGCCCTTGCACTTCCACCATGCACAACCATTACTGAGCACTACTATCGACAGCTGTTTCAACTCAACTATATATGCACTAGTCTTTAGTAGTAAAACACCGCTGAAATAAGTTTCATGAACTCAACAGTTAAGGCTTACCACCTTATTAGCAACTATAACTGATTTCTGAAACACATGAATCCCTTCTACAGAGATGAAGACATGAATGCAAACACAATAGATTCAGAACTACGGCAGATATTTCATCTGAGAGATGAAGGAACTGAGAGAGTTTAGCTTGGAGGACAGGTGGCTGAAAGTGAGGCCTCATCGCTCTGCAGCTACCTGAAAGAAGGCTGCAGTGAGGATGCTGCTGATCTCTTTTCTCAGGTGACAAGGAATAGGACACTTGACAGCAGCATAGAGTTGAGACAGGGAGGTCTAGAGGAGATAGCGGGAAGGATTTCTTCATAGAAAGAGTGCTCTCATGTGCTCTAGCCACTAATGGGTGTTCACTTTATGGGACCAAATTTGACTTACTCAGATACAACTCCCATGAAATGTGGGTGATGTGGCTACCACAGAGCACGACAAATCTTGGACTACTGACATTACATGCAGGGGCAGCCCGCTTCAGCTTTACGACACACTAGAAATGGACCATTAAATGCTTTAAAATGGAGATAACTGGCTCCCTTTTTATCTTAAGATAGTCTTGCTATTAGTTGAAAGCTGAAGCAGAAAAATTCTGCTTGTAAGGAAATAGCATATTTGAATGCAGTTTCTGAGTTTTCAAGTTCTCACTCTGTAGCAGTGTGCCAATGCAGAGACAACATAAGGGAGTGCGTGAAGTTAACTCCATGCACACAGCTCCTAACTTTATTTACAGACTGAACTGCAGAGGGCAGCAAATAAAAGAGAAGAGCTTTAGAGTTCATAACTCCACTACTGCTTGCCAGCTGCAAGAGGACGCTGCATTCCCTGGACTACCACGATCAATACTCAGGCAATTGATTTCAATTGGCTTCAAGTCAGTTTTGCTGAAGGACTGCTTTATATTATCTATCCCCCTTACAGAGCTGAAATGAACAAATCATTTTAACTTACACTGATTTTGGCTAGGGCTTAGAAAGTAACTCCCAATCTGCTGGAACAGAGGGCAAAAGCAGTTAGAATTCTTTTTTTATGACTTGTCAGTCAAACCAAGTCATGCTTCTATACTCTAAGCTAGAATTCAATAGAAAATTCTGTGTACTGAACATGCATATTAAAAAAAAAAACCTAGAATTGAAATGGAACTCCACAGTTTTAGCTGAAAAGCACGAACATATCTCTATGCTTTGAGCGGACACTGATGAAAGTAAATGCATTTATTGTCAATTTTACAGCCTTTATAGCCCTTCTTTCTTACTCATTTCATCGAAGAAAAAGATAAATGTACAAATAGTGGTGTGAAGGTATTATTTGATAAGTACAAGGCTGAAACTAGTAAAGAATAAATATTTAACTTCACATTAGTATGAGTAAGATTAAATTATTATGCTACAATTAACTCATTTACTGGAAGAAAATACTCATTTTAGGAAACGAATCCATGGTTTGGATACTATTAATGAAAATGGGAAGCATTTTATTGAATCACAGACGTTAGAGATGGAAACATACATCAGAACTTATGTACCACCTTACCAGTACTGTGTTATTAGCAGAAATAGTAATGTTTTACGGGAGAAAAAGGAACTGCCATTGCATTCAACAGGCTAAGGTAATATTTAAAAATTAAAAGAGCTGTTGTCTTTTTTTTTTTCAGCTAATTGGGTTGAAATTTTTATTTTCTACACCACAAGCCTCTTGTTTCTGTAGATGTTTTAAGCTCTAACATGTTCAACTTAATAAAAGAAAAAACATCGATTTCCTGCTTAATGACAGCAGGCTGCAATGTGATATTACAGCTAGAAATTACAGTCATCTTTTCATGTCCATAGCAAAGATAACCATTGCTCTCTAACAGATCTATCCATTTAATGTTTATTACTAGGCCATTTATTTTAGACTTATTATCTTTCATGTTCTTTTCTTCTACTGGATGAATACTTGGTGAATTATATTTACCATTAAATATTAGTCTTATACAGAATCTCATTTTATTATATTATTCCATTTTATTATATTATTCCATTCCACATTAATCACAGCTGTAATATCTACATCAGTAATGGGAAACCTAATCTTTCACCTTAATCTGCCCTATATAAAAGATAGTTATACATGTTGCTTCACATCATAGATGCAATGCAGATATGGAAATTATTTAATTTCAGCAAAAATTTTTAAGAGTAAGATTTGGAATGTTGAAGTATCTCCCTCTGAGTTTTTTTGTTTGTTTGTTTTGGTAAAACTGATAGGGCAAGAGTTTTTAATTCAGATGTTACAAATGTCCAACTCTGCAACTATATCTATCTTTATCTTCCTTATTTTGTGTAATATTTTAATACAATAGGAATAATTTCTTAGACATTAAAAATCAAAATGCTTTGAGATGATGAAAATGAAAGACCTAACTCGGTCAGTACTAACACGGATGAGGATTTGGAATGTTCATCTGAATCTGGAACTAATACAATATTCTCAGATGTCAGCTTTTCCTAGCACAGAAAAATCTTTTGGCCTACTTTGCTGATCATCTTTTCACGAGTCAGGAGTTGTATTTCCCATATCTGATTTAAGGAACACAAGAAAAACAAATGCTTCAATGAAATCACTTTCAGAGCAGTGATAGCATGCTCTACTTCAAGTGTTTTTTTTTTAAATCACTTAATAGTTACACTACTGTCAGCATTACTTTCATGTCTTGTATTCTGCAGTAACTCCCATTTTCCAGTCTTTTACAAGTCTCAATCACACATAAACAAAGAATCTCTCAGTTCTGTCCATGAGTATTATTCCCTCATTTTTTTTAGCTTTATTCTACAAAGAGACATTTCCTTAAATTCACATTAGCTACTAAGCTTCAGATGACAGAAGTCTGATTTTTCTCAGATGAAGCAACTAAGCAAGGCTTTTTTCTGCATGAAAATATTACAAGCTTTAAATGCTTTAAAGCTCAAAATCCAACCTCTTGATTGAGAGCACCAAAAATGCACAAGTTTAAAAAAAAAAAAAAAAAAAGCATCAGAAACAGTGAGCAAAGCTTGCTTTGGTGTCATTTCATTACTTCCTCAAAACTGAAAAATTGTATCTATGATTGCATTGATCAGTACTGTATTTCTTACATGAACAATTTTTTTTCCACGCTACATTGGCAGAAAATATAATTTACTATAAAAGTACAACCATTCTTGAATCATTATAAAATATTCTTATTTTAAACTTTAACTTGCTAATATTCCTTGGAAAAGTTGGCGGGTGACCTCAGTGTATGGTGCTACTTGAGTGCAACTTAACAATAAATTCTAAATCCCATGTAATTAGTTTGATTAATTAGCAGCCCACATAGAAATGCCAACAACTTCTACAAAAAAAATGCATTGGTTCTGCAAGAGCTGAATTTCACAGAAACACACCTATTTTCTAGCTAAAAAGAGTTATATTCGCACATAAACCTGAGGGAAAGGTTCTTAGTACAGGCCGTGTTTCACACTGTTGAAATATTAACGTATTCTGGAATTAAATTATTTGAATAATTTACATTATATTAGAGAAACAAATTCTCTGAACAAGCATGTAATCCAACCATGTACAAGCAAATAACAACTCAGTATCAATTATTTAAAATCTTCTGAAAATTGGATCCTCTCAGCTGTTCCAATCTCAAGGTAAAAGCCCCCAAACCAAAATACTGCCATTATTATATGTCTATTTTCCTAAAATAATGAAGTATTGAGATAGCACAAAAGGAAATTAGACGGGCTTGGCAAATGCATCTTTCAGCAAACGAAAAATTCTGTTAATGGTCATTTTGCATACATCAATCTTAGCTTTATCAGACATGCTTATAAATAATTCCACAACTTCAATAATTATTCAGAAAGCAGGAATAAGGACTTCAAATTACCTGTTCATGGACATTCAGTACTCATGAGTAATTGAGACTGGAAAGAACCTTCAGAGGTCACCCAGTCCAACCTCCTGCTGAAAGCAAGTCTAACCAGATCAGAACTCTGTCGAGATGATTCTTGAAAACCTCCAGAAACCGAGGTTCCACAGCCTGTTTGGGCTATCTTTACCAGTATTTGACTAGAATCTGCTTAGGTATAACATTAGCCACACCTTGAAAATGTAAATAATTTATTTTTATGCTTTAGTTAACTAAAAAACATATAGAACCACAGAACCATAGAATTGTTTGAGTTTGAAGACACCTCTAACGGTCATCTGGTCCAACTCTCCTGCTGGTCACCTACAGCTAGATCAGGATGCTCAGAGCCCTGCCCAGCCTGTCCCTGAATGTCTCCAGGGATGTTGGCATCCACCATGTCTCTGGGCAACCATCCTTATTGTAAACAACTTTTTCCTTACATCCAATACAAATCTGCCCTGTTTTAGTTTGAAACTATTTCCCATTGTGCTATCACAGACCCTGTAGAAGAGTCTGTCCCCATATGTGTTGTTGTTACTTCTGAAAATGAGAGCTGTGTATATATGCCAGCCAATTAGAAAAAGCAGCTTTCATTAATTCACAGTTCTACTCCTCATCCATTACATTTGCACAGTGGTCCTTTGAGTTCTTGGAAATACCAGATTTTAAGTTTAGCAAATAAAGCAAACTTATATTTTCAGAAAAAGCAACCATCAGAAAACAGCAATGAGAAATTGCTGTAAAATTATGTTTGAAAAAGACTTTTGATGTTAATCTGAGCAGTTATAATCAGTAATAAATAATAGAAAGATGGCATTTCACTAAACTTCTTACTATATATCACTATTTATCACTGTTTCATTTATGCTTCTTACCGGCCTTTCGTGTTCAAGGATTGATGACTTTCCTGGCTCATACTCAAAAATGCTTCTTGGTTCTGAGCGGAACTTGCGGGTATCTACTTTTCTGTCAGGGGGATCCCAGTCATTTCTAAATAACAAATAAGAGCAGTTGAGTTCATTGACCATCAACCCCTTCTGCTTTACAGCTCCAGGCAGTGGGAGGGAGATGCACACAAAACCAAATGAATTTCAGCACGGTTTCACTTTCCAGCTTTCAGCTCTGAAATGTCTGGACTAGCGCCCCATCTTCACTTGCTTACAGTAGGTATATATAGTACAGTAGGAAAAGCACTAATTATGTCCAGCCTATGGGATTGTTCATTCTTTTGTTTTAAATGGTAAAAAAACTTGAACTTGAAACTATTCTGAAATACTGTGACAAAATACTACAGTATGCCTTCTCAAATTGCAAATATACTATATGCTTATGCAGAACTCATTATTTGCTACACTACATAATGTACATAATGGTAGATATTTTTATCATTGCACAATATGACAGTCCATATTGAAAAGTAACAGAATTTTCCGAGAAAAAAATGAAATTTAACCCTTACTATTCTGTTTGGTTTTTTTTTTTTTTTTCAGTCATTCATCATGTTGTTTTAATAGCTACTTGCACAATTTGGGGAGATATTTAGGTAGTTCCTATCACAGTCAGAGTTATCTTCTCATGGCATTTTTGTAATCGCTGTCCATATTGCATTTGGAATAATTTTTGCTCTGGGGCAAATGATCCATTTGTAACTCTCAGAACGGAGGAAGGAAAAAGGAAATCTCATAGGTATGCCTGCATTTACAGTAAGAAATCATATGCTCTGATTAAATTCTGTTAAGCTTTCTGCTGTGACTTAGCTTGATGTGACCTGACCTAATAAGGCACATCACATGCCTTAAAAAAGCGCGTGGGATAGCTTTTGTTTGCAGTGCAATTTCTGGAAAACAGATCATCTGTTTATAAATTCCCTACCTTTCAAGGGTAGTAGTTCCATATGGCTCTTTACCATGCATGTTCACTGAGGAAAAACTACAGTTCCAGAACTGAAAACATTGTCTTTTTTAGAACAGAAAAATGGAAATCAAGTTGCATTATATTTCAAGTCACTTCGAAGAAAAAAGGATGCCACTGAAATTCTGGTTCACACTCAATTCACTTTCATTTACAGTGTCTAGCCTTTAATCCCTTATGGGCTGTATTTTTGAGCTCAACTTACTGGGAAACATATCTTGGCTCCCAGCTATAAAACCGTGATACATTTAGACCTAAGCCTCTTATGTGAGATTTTAAATGCTCATACTTCATAGGCAATTAAAGAAACTCCCCGTGGTAGGAAAAGATTGATGAGCTGTAGCTGTCAGCAGCAGGCAAAGCATAACTAACGTGTTTGGCATCCCTTGGCCTCGAGACCTTAGATTTCCAATGCCTGTCTTATCATGTAGGAGATTTAAAAAGGAGCTGAACATCCAAATTAAGTGCTGAAGCAGTTATTTTCAAGCTTGACAAAAGGAACTGTAACAGGCCTCAGCTTCTGTGACCAAGGCATTTGGCCTAGCTCAGGATGATGACTCACAGAACCTCAGAGATCAAGGCTAAGCAGATGTACATTTCAGTGTTTTGCTAACAAAAACCTTGCTTCTGTATGACTTGCTAGCAAGATTCAAACCTCTTGGCCTTTGGAAGGCAGTCCATCACTAATCCCTATCCTCCGCTCTTGGAAACCTGTTTTCAACAACAGGTGGAGTCAAAATCAAGAAAACCACTCAGCAATATGATTTTCATCTATTGGATTACCTTTTGAATTGCCACTACCTGCAAATTTTACAAAAAGCTATAACCCACAGCCTTAATTTTTAGCCCTTACTGTCATGTCATGTTCTGTATCTGCTATTTTTTCCTTCACCGGTATCTGGAAATTGGATTAATGTGCATACATACCAAGAAGAGTTTTTGAAAACACAGTAACTTACTTTTCTGGTATAGACCTTTCCCGCAGACGATGTGGTGGTACTGGGGGTGGCACATGTGGGGGTGGTAAAGGAGATGAGACCTTAAAGGCATCAGAGCTGCTGTCAGAAGCGCTTTTAGACAACGGTCTGTATGTCTGTGTCTTTGCAGCTGGGTGTGCCTGAGCAGAGAAGGATGGACTGCAGCTACCTAATATAAAGCAAAAACAAAAATAGTCCCAATGTGAGAAAGAATTGAATAAAACAAAGCATGGAATGATATAAGAATCCACAGTTTATATAGCTGCAAGGTTGTGAAAATGTGCAAACATATTTTTACAATATATATGTGTATTTTTTATTTTTAAAAGTATATACCTAAGTACTAAGTAATTCATGGTAATACTTTTCAAATATTTGTATATAAAACTACAATCAAACAGGAGAACTGCAGTAAAATAGAAAGAAATGAATGATTATTTGTTTTTGACAGGGAGGGAGAAGTTAATGGCTGCATGTATCTATCAGGGCTGTTAATGACAACCTGTTATTAACCCCAGGGCTCATCCTCACTCTCTGTCTTTGTACGTCCAGATTGAGAAGGAGACGTAGGAAATGGACAATCATTATGTAGTCTGAATAGTTACTGTTAGTTTGGGACAACCATACAGTCAAGTATCTTGGATAAGATCATAAGTGTATAAACAGATCTTGAACAACTTACACACACAAATGACTCTCCATATTACACAAAAAGGCTGTGTGAGAGCACACTGAATGCAACACAAACACAGAAATAGAAGAACTATGAATAGCATTTTTTGACAAGGCACTATGGCTTTCTGCAGATAGTGTATTCACAGTTCCATTTTTGGTTCTATTAAGTAATTTTACCACATAGCTATCATCTTCCGAAAGACACAGGAATTATATATCTATTGTACGTATATGTCTTTCTTGTGGTTAAATGCCACCACCACCAGTGCCTATAGTAAAAACGAATGTGATTAGAAAAGAGAAGCATCTTTATTAGGCACTCAGGATATATTTTAAGATTTTTGTCTTCCTACATATGTAATTAGTATTTGTACTTTCACACAGTAGGTCTCTCCTCATTTTGATTAGGAAAGGCTGTGTTGCTTACACTCACAAGTGAAAATAAACACAGTGTAATCAGAAACTACAGTATTACAATGTATCCCATCTGCAGTAATACAGGCCCACAGCTGTAATACATCAGCAAGAATGAAACCAAAATTAAACTTAGTTTCATTTGGGAAAAAAGACATGAAAAAAAAAAACACCAACTGAGATCAAGCATGACGATAAAAAGATGATAAAAAGTGTTTATTAAAAAAGCAAGCACAAATAGTTAATTACTCCTGTCACTTGCTGACATTAACAAAAGAGCTGTTTTGAAGTGAGGAAATAACTCCTACCAGTACTGTATGAATATGCAGTATTATACATGTCTGTGTCGTCATCTACAAAAAGAAATATACATGTTACAGTAATGCAGTATGTGCTAATTTATTGCAGCAACACAGCTTTCTTTTTGGAAATACAAACAGGCAATCAAGTGTTGTATTTCTTTTCCTCATCTCACGTGAGTGTTTTCTGAACTCTCTCTTTTCCCATTACGCTTGCCATAAAATATTTTTGCCATTTTATTGGTAAAATGTACCTTCTTGTCACGACACCTGTACTGTATACTACTGGCTAGCCCCAAACATTAAGTTACAGCTGTTTATCTTCTCCCATCTCTACCTCTACCAAGAGCTTTACTCTCCTCTTATTAGATACTACTAAATCCTCCTATCATGAAAATCAAACTCAAGTATTTACCACGTGACTAGTGTTCAGGACAGATCTAAAAAACCATAATTGTCTTGCTTACATTTCTTATTTTCCCACTAATCTGTTTGACCATGCTAAATACAAGCCCTACCTCAGGAGAATAAGGTCTCTTTCCTTCATGAGGGTCAGTGAGCATGACTGTAGTTTATGCTGTTCCTTAGTGACAATCATGATGAAAGAAGCTAACTCTAAAGCTATAAATATCACCAAAGCTCTGTTTCAGCAAAACAAATAACACATTATATGGAAAAAATGCGATTCAAACAGAAAATGTATCCTCAAAACAGCCTGCATTGTTCCAATACGCAAGCTCTCCAAGAATGAGGTGGTATGGCAGGGGACTTCCAGTGGCAAATCTCTCATCCCTCACACCAGAGATGAGGATTGCTTCACTGAGTTCCATGATGACACAGAATCACACTGTATGTGTTTCCATGCTTACTTTGCTCACTTTAATTTTTTTTTTTATTTTTAGTAAAACAAAATAAATGCAATATAAGTAGACAGCCTCTAGCTGTCTCTCTGCATCAAAATCTACCATCCTTTTAATTTGATTCATTGTCTCACACTTGGTGAACGTTTGCATTTTCATATGGCAGCTAATCAAAATGCAGAAAAGTGTACTTTTTAATACCACTGACAAGTACACAGCCAAGACAACAGCATACTTACCAGGCTTATGTACCATATGGATTTGCTTGAACATTGTCTTGTACCAATCCTTTGGCCTGTCAACTGTCTAAATAAAATATAGTTTTAAACAATTAACAAGGAATTAAAAATAACAAAGAAATAAAAATATCTATGTGAACAGATCAGACATTTAATATTATTCTGGACATAGATTTAGGTTTATCATTCTTTGTCCCCTGTTCAGTATAATCATTTTCATCTACTTCGAGTGGTGTATTTGTCCATCTCATCTAGGAATCCCTGTAACAAATTCTGGAAGGCATTTAAGATTGACTCAGTTTGGGACTTTGATCTTGGAGAATACAATGCTTAAGAGCACTGGAAGTGGTGCCAGATCAAGAGTTATCTTCTTAGAGCACTATATTTTACAAAGATGAATGCTGGGTACTACACAGGAAATACAAACAACTTGCCAATTTCTAGTATCTAAGAAGAGGGTTTTTTTTGTTGTTTTTTGTTTTTTTTTTCTTTAAACTCCTAGCTATTTTCAACATACATTATCTTCAAAACATATTTATTAAATAGTGCATATTTACTTTGGAATACTACTGAGAAAAGAATTAAGACAAGAATTATGTTTGGTAAACAAACAGCATTTATGCGGTTTTTAATTTCCCTTTCCAGGCAACTTATTCTTCTATTTCAAGAAGTGATAAGGAAGTGAACACAGTTTACCTTTTAATATCACTCACTAAATTGCACTTGTATTTATTACAGAAAACTACAGTCTCATATTTTCTAGTCTCTCCTAATGCTAACTTTTGCTTGTGTTTCTACTTATTTTATCCCTTACTTTTTCGTATTTCCTATTTTTGTCTTAACTTGCTTTGAGACACTGTTTCAGAAAAGGAAGTAACAAAAAAGACAAACATTTTTTAGTATTCTTCCCTTTGATCATGAATCTTTACATGCTCCATAGTGATCAGAAAAGCAAAATGTTTAATGAATGTAATGAATCACACTTTTGCCTTAAATGCTTTATAAAGTTACTGTACATAATTAAACAGTTAACTTTGGTGAACTACGCAGAAAACAATCACCTGTTTGAAGAATAAACATCAGTACAATTCCACAGTGGTCCATGCTGCCACAACTGCCTCTGCGTATTGGGCCAAGAAGGGTTTTCAAAAGGGCTTGAATCAGTGGCAGGGGAATAGATAGGAAACAATGCAACAGTACTACTACTGTGACCTGCTGTTTGTCATGAGACAAAGATGCACGATATCTCTTTGCCAGGCCCTCCTAATTAATCTGCCAGGTGCTCCACACATTCACAGGTGGTTCCACACAGAGAGCAGGTATGGAGAAGCCACCTTATAAGCAAAGAAGCAGCTCTTCCAATGCCTTTTTGGATGTTTGATTTTTTCAATCCCGTCATCCCCTCCCCATCCCAGACTCTGGGGTTCACTGCATCAGCCAATGATTTGGCTTTATGTTATAAACCAGATGGAATTTGTTGAGAAATAGAATAAATTAATTTTAAATTATACAATCTCAATTTATATTCTCTAATTCCCCATGCCAACCTTTGTTTGAGGAATTAGCAGTATTCACAGCCACCGAGTCATTCAGATGCTGTCCTGCTTTGCATACATTACAGTTGTTGCAATTAAATGTTGGAAACATGTTATGAATAATCATAACATGTGGATGAATAATCAGCCAAATAGCATGAGGAGGACCTAAGAGGTATCTGCAATTGGTACCCAGAAGACTCCATAATCACTTCAGTATTCAAATAATCCATCAGGAAGTATATGATTAAAGGAGGCATTTATGACTTTCAGCGGACCTTCCAAGTGGGGCACTTCTATTTCCTAGCTGAAATGCTACATCACTAAATACAGACAAAATATATGATTGGACTTCATTTTTTTTTCATTCTATTCAATAGAGGTCTTCTCAGCGTACGGATTAATTTTGGTAGAAATGAAGCAATTATTTTTGGATAGTCTCTAACAGTGCAGTCATATTGCTTTTCAAGATTTTTTTTCCCCTTTTCTTCCCCTTTCCTAGGATCCTGTCAGTGATAAAGTCTAGTGCTGCCATTTGACTGAAAGCTTTTTTGCACTCTTTTCCAAAGACTTCATTTTTAATGCCTTGGAATGTCATCATCTTTGGGGCAGGGCTTGGCACAGTGGCAGAACTTAACAAGCTGAGTTTTCAGGCTTCAGGTTTTTTGCACTTGCTGGAGCTGACAGGAGCTACAGCAGTGCAGAGGTAACATGCTACCATGGGACAGGAGAGCTGTACAGCAGCCCTTCCCTTTTCAGAACCTTTGGATCAAGGGTTTGCAGGAATATAAAGTGAAGAGAACATCCCTGTTTTCCTTGGCTAAGCAGCTGTCACTAACCGTCTTCCAAGAGGAAAGACAGACTTGTAGGAGACCAGCACACTGAAATCAGGAATACAGATTCTTCAAGATTCTTATTTACAAGCTTCCTTTATGCTTCTAACAGTAGCATAGTATTTGGGAACACAATACATATGTTATCTATCAACTCTGAATCTCCATTTACTGCTTTTTACATAGAATATGGCTGTTTTCATGCAGATGGAAAAATGAGGAACTTTTCAACACTGTGTACAACCATAAGCTCAGTGAATTTGAAACCTCTATTTTTTTCCTTCTCATGACCCTTCTGGGAGAAGATTCCTGTTTGGATTGACCACTGACTTTGGAGAGCAAGTGGGTGCTATGCTACCTTCTGCTCCTGGGAAGTGCAGTTACAGCACTTTTGCATGTTTCTGCATAGTGCTGCACTTCTGTGAGATGTCAAAGTGCAGCATATTTGAGTCTTTTGCTGACAACTCTATTGCCTTTGTTCTCACATGACTGGAGTACGCTGCATTCAAATATATCTGCATACATTTAAAATGTAATCTCAAATCAATATGCTGAAAACTGCCTCACTTCCAGCTAAGTCTTAAAGAAGCACAGTAAGGAGACAAAGTGGCATACGAGGCAGACACACTCACACAAGCTGGCATAATCTTTTAACTCACATCTCATCATCAGAATCAGCTCTATAATTCAAAGCTTAAAAAGACGCAAGACATTTTTAAATTGAAACGATCAAAAATGAAGAGCAAATCCAGCTGAGAAATGCCATAATTCAAATCACATTATATTTTCAGGAGTGTATCGCAGAGAAGCAGACCAATCTGAAAGTTAAATATAGGATGGCAGATTGCCAACTCTGTTAAGCATACTTGAGGGGGATTTCTGTTATACCCTTATATAACTAATATTCACACTATTAGACCGATCTGCTATTTAAAAAAAAGGACAAAAATAATAACTTTCTCCGTGCACAACAAAGGGACATTTTTAGTTAAAGAAGGGGTAGGAACCTAGAGCATTAATGCAAATAAATTGATTCATTTTTTAAAGCTTGATTGTATTCCTTTCTATATAAAAAATAAAGAAATGCCAGAGTTTCCCCCCATTCTTAACAAAATTGTCCCCATCTTACCACTCATTCTGAATTTCTCCTATTGCTTTTTCCATCAGTTCCTGCTCTTCCCCCTAATTTTTCAATCCACTGAAGCAATTCCTGGTGATTAAAACACAGCCCCATAAGTCAGCACTGGCAGAGAGGATACATCCAACAGCTGCTATATCCTTGCACGTCACAAAGACTTCACCTGCAAGGGCTCTGCTGCTTTCATCCTGGCTCCCACTCTTCTTACTCTCTCTCCGTCTAGCACAGCACTGCTTCCAGCAGGGAAGGCCAGTAAGCACTTCCTCTACAGACCCAGCACAGCTGCCACTGTGCTCTCTGGACCAGCCAGAAGAGGCTGCCCTGACAGCAGAGTGGAAAGAATGCTTCAGCAGAGGGAAAACAAACCTTCTCAGTCTGACATCCTGGGCCACTCTAGCCAGAGACTAGTGGCAGATGATAGGAACTGGGCTAGTCTCAATGAAGGGGTTTCTACACTATTCGCCTACATGTCATCCAGGGGCATAGAGATCATGTTTTGCATGTCTGCAAAAATACTACTTTCTTAGATTACTGACTGAATGAAACTACATTACACCGATCAAGTAAGAACCCCTGCTCCCCAGAATGCAGGAGTGTGAGATTTATATGTGTATACATACATATACATACACAGATACGCATGTATACTTGTACATGTGTATAAATACAGTATGTATACACTTTATTTTAGGAATAACAAAGCAAATACAATTATTTCACATCTCCAAAAGGGAAGGAATACAAGAGAAGAGAGACAAAATTTTGATTAGTTCTAATTAAACCAGAAACATCAAGTTGCCCAATTACGTTCCCATCAGCATTCTCTTTTTCTGTCAACACACAATATTATATTCATGAGCTGCCTGATTGCGCACACAGTATTCCACATTATATAAGAGTAGAAGAATGTGAAAAACCCATTACCAACAATCAATTCATTGTATGAGTTCATACGCAGATTCCCCAGAATTTCCTACCGTTCTAATTGCTGTAGGGATTCCAGATTCATCTACTGGGCCAATCCCTGCATAATGTGGAGCTTTAATGACTGTAATTTTTTTTTCTTCCTCTAAGGATTTACAGATTGGTATTGTACTGGTGGTGGTGCTGCTGCCAACATGTTGTGAGTATGTCTCTGTGGACTCTGTAAAGATAACATGAGAGAATAATGTATAACAATACAATAATCATACTGGGCAACTGTAACACACTGCCCAATTCCACTGTGGTTTGTGGTTTGCAAAGATGGGTAATAATTTTGAGAAACATATTCATATGTAACACTCCATAAAGTGATCATCTGAGTTGGGGCTGAACCATGATCTTATTTATGGCTATCTAGCTCAGATCTTGGTAGATTAGATTGCAGACACTTTTTTTTGCTGCAACTTGCTTAGGAAAAAAAAAGAATAAAGACAAAAAGAAAAAAACCACAAACCCAGTAAAATATAATGAGAAATAATAGGATTAAAACGTTGCTGTAAAATGAAATTGCACCTTACCTATCCATCCTTTGAAATAATGACAGAATTTCAAAACTTTCCCTTCACAAAATGTAACAGAATATATAATAATATATATACAGAAAATTACCATTCTGTCAGCACCAGATTTCAACCAAATCTCCAGAACAATCTATATAATATGTGTTTAGAAACAAAGTTTAAAAAAAACCAGAACAAAGCAAATTTCTGTGTGCAATTTTCACCCCTTCAGGTTATGCTGGTCTGTTTAAATATCACTTTACATTATCCAGAGAATTGGCACTCAGCAACTCAGCACTCAGAGCGACCTGATGATGCACTTATTTTCAGTGAATCTGCAGACTGCTGTGGTTCACGGTCATTGGCAATATTCCTAGCTCTCTCCCCTAAATCTTCCTTTAAAATTAAATAAACTAATGTGTCACTATTACCATCTCTATAAAATCCAGAGAGAGTAATTCATTTAACAAAAAAAAAAACAAACAAAAAACCAAAAAAAAACAACCAAAAACAAAAACAAAAAAACACCCATCTCACTGCTGGGATGCATCACATGACAATTGTTGCTGCATGTAGGAAGAAGAGCCCTGCTCCTTCAGGGAGTATGTTTCAGTAAATCAGAGAGCTGCTATGACAAAGCAAGTTTTTCTGTACTGTGCAAGCACAGGTACAGTGCCTGCAAGACTAATATTAGTCTACTGCAGGATAAATGAATGGAAGGAATAAAAATAAACATTCTGACACTACTGGTGAAGATTATGATTTAACATGATAATTCTCAAGCAAAATATTTGAATTGTAATATAAATGAGTGAAAGAAGCTCTGGTGACTGAAAGTGCTAATTTTAATTTGAATGTTTTCTCATTGCTACTGCAGAGATCTGGCATGACTGTTTCAGCTGTTTACTCAAGTCTGAAGTCCTGCAAATAATCCAGTGCTACACATATATGGCGAGGGGCAACTCTGCGTGGCACATGTCTAAATATTTGGGCCTTTTTCCCAAAATGCACGATGTTAAATTTAGAAAACATTTGGTATTTGATCCCTCGTTCTTTGTAGATGGCCTCGAACTAAGGCCATCAGTGGGATTTTATGTGAGCAAGGAGGATGAAATCAGATTGTTACTGTGGAAAACAGAACTTAAGCATCATACAAGAGTAAAAATCATGGGAAAGCACATTCCTGGTATATCCAAAACAATATTGATATACCTTAAGTTCAACAAACCAGAAGCAATCAAAGAATGTAGCACTTGAGTACGTGGAAAAACCCATGTGTGCAGTTTTTTGCATCTATCACTAAGACCTGGATAGCAGCATTTCTCTAAGCTATAAGTCTCAGTGCCAGAACTGCCACCTAATTTCTCTGCATGCACAACAAAAAAGTAAACTCCTGGATCATAATCAGATTGTTTTACACATATACTCTTATCTGAATCTGCAAACTCTGGCAGAAAAAGACGCAAGTAAATGATTGTACTGGCAAAACTAGATTATACTGGCAAAGGTTCTTTGTGAGGCTAATCATGCAAGTATTTAAGGAAAAAAACCACCAACATAAAAATGACCTACAAAAATACATAAGTAAATTATAAAGTGAGATGGCTTGAGGTGTTTAAAAGCTCAGGGCCCCCCCCTTTGTTGGCAGTATTTCAACTGAAGCTTGTAGAGGTTGTGGGGAGAAGCAATGCACAAAACTGGTCTTTAGTTTCTTAAAGAGAGCAAAAGGAAACAGGCTCTGCAGGTTGAGCTGTTTCTATACATGCTTCCTTTTCCTCAGGAAAGCAAGTGGAAAAGTGGCAAGAGGTCACTCTCATAAACATAAGGACGAGTAATAAAATTTAAAGTAACTTTGGTTCAGGAACTATTACATCTAACAGTAAATTCTATTATCTTTTGCATTTACTTCCTAAGGAGATGAATAGACAATACCTGCATTATAGATGTGATGCCCTTTGCCATTGTTTACAATTTTGGCCACATAAATTGGAATATATTGTGTAATGAATAAAGCAAATATTCTGTGCAAGGCTTACCCATCATCCTGCCATGCTGCATGATAACAAGGTTGGAATTGAGAGAAGCTGGTGGAGAGTAAGCAGAAGAAGGGGAAAAAGGCCTTTGAAAGTGACTCACTGGGCTGGCAGCAGTGCCAGAGTTCCCATTCACTGTGATCTGAGCCTGAGAGAGACAAAACAATATCCCATTAAATGACACACAAAGCCCTCTGAATGCCATCCAAACAAAGAGTAATGTAAGACTGTCATCCACGTAACAATTACCACTTGTCAGGTATCATTATGGCATCTGCGTTCTCTGAAATACAAAACACATCACCTGCGGAGCAGAATGCGTTCCTTTTATACACCTTGCATATATACACACCTTGTACCTCCCCCCTTCGCTCCTTGTATGTGCAGCCTGTAAAGCATGGTGATGATGGGAGGTGGCAGATGGGGCAGAGTCTAGGCAATAAAACTGAACTGCATAAACAAGGTCTGATATCGGTATAAAATGGAGATGGCAATAAAAATTCCTCTCATCACATGAGAGAGGCTGCCTGCCATAGATCACTCACTCCAACAGACATAGAATCATAGAATTGCTCGGGTTGGAAAAGACCTTAAAGTTCATAAAGTCCAACCATGACCTAACCATACTACCCTAACTAACAACCCTCCACTAAATCATGTCCCTGAGCACCACATCCAAATGGTTTTTAAACACATCCAGGGATGGTGACTCAACCACTTCCCTGGGGAGCCTATTCCAGTGCTTAACAACCCTTTCTGTAAAGAAGTTTTTCCTGATACCCAACCTAAACTTACTCTGGCACAACTTGAGGCCATAATGTTCCCATGATCCACATGCACCACCCCTGTTGACATTAATGATACTTCTCAGCAGACTGAATGGAAAAGTCTCATTACGAGTAGCAAAATTGAGTGAGCCATAGCTTCTTTAAAAAATAGTTTGGAATCCCTGCACCTGGGCTGTAGTACTTCTATGGGTAGCATTGAAGGAATCAGACCAGAGATACCAAGAAAGCATATGGAATGAAATAAGAGAGCAGTGAAAAGAGAGGGAAGGTTTCTATCACATCTCCTCAGGTAGGTCTCTGTTTTAAATCATGAGTGCTATAACCTGCTCAGTTTAATTTAACTAAAGAGAAGAACTAAAATAACATAAGCATTCAAAGTGAGGCTCTTTGAATACTGTAAATGTAAAACGGGAGACTATTTGAAGCAGCAAAGCGTAAGTAAATCCCATATTAAAAGACATATTATTATTGCATTTAAAAATGAAATGGTTCATGACCTCTTGTATAGATGCATGTTTTGGAGACTAGTAATTTGAATTTTTTAAACATCTCAGCCCCCAGTAGCTAGTTGAGTGAAACCAAATCAATTTCTGTAAAAGTATCATGAAAACACAATATACAGAAGTAGCTGATGGGTATCAGTCATAAGTGCAAATGTGGAATGTCCAAATATGACATTTCTGAATTTGGTTTTAGAGAGGATAGCAGCTCAAACAGTATAATTTCTTAGTTCTTAATGACTTTCCCTTTAAAGAAAGTTTCCATTGTGGTCACTACTGAATTTATATATCTGAAGCATCTTGCACTGCTGGGAAGGTTAATTATAGGCCTGTTTTGAGAAGTTTCGAGTTGCTTTCGATACTGATGCTGTTTCTTTTTGGGGGATCAGCTATAAAATCTTTACACCTGAGCTCTCACTAATGGCCTCAACAATAAACAAATCTCCTCAAATTGGATATGTTTTTGAAAGTATGGCTCCAGCTTATGTGATGGATGGCACACCCCTATGCTGCTTTTATTGTTTCCTCAGTGGTTTTCATCTACACAATGAATCAATGTCTTCTTCGAGAATGAAGATCATTCAAGTATCATTACAGGAACAAAGCCACTAGCAGCATGTTTGCATGTGCCACCAGCTTGTCTCTCATCTTCTCATTTCATAGATAAATGTACAGCCATCTAGCCCTCCTCTACAGAGGAATGGAAACAAAGATCTTTTGCAATGCAGGGGTCTGCCTTGCCAGTAGTTTAATCTCGCTATGGGCCTCTTTGGATTGTTTAGGGATTGTTATCTTTTGGTGGGAAACTCATCCATTCTCTGTGTAAATTTAGTAGTGAAACCTGTTTACCTGTGTAGTCATACCTAGAAGTGGTGGCCAAGGTAATAATAGATATCTCTACAGGGAAACTATTCAAAAAAGGAAAAAGGGAAGGATTGTTCACTTTGGCTTACAAGTAAAACAAACATAGGGATTGTTTTTGATGCAGGTTAGAAGAAAATACAGATGTTCCAGGCTTTCCATAACTCATCCTATGGTGATTGTGCCTTAGTTACATACACCCCTCTATATTGATCATGGTATCTTTCATTACAACAACTGGACAGCATGCAGATTAACATCACTGACTCTTCTTAAAATTTTAGGTTTCAAAGATGTGTTAACAATCACAGCATTTATATGCCTGATATTTTTTTAAACAGCATTCACCGAACTGACTACAGGTCATTGACTCTGTCTGCATGTTTGGGCTCAACTACATGCTAGGAAACATACATGAAATGTAAAAAATTATACACTGTTCTTTTTCAGAATTTTAAGTGCTACATTTAGACTGGAAAATTATAGTATGCTGAAGTATTTGTACAAAGTTGAAATGCTATCGTTACACAGTAAAACTTTGGTCTCAGAACATTTCTCAGTTTTGTAGTTCAGCAACAAATTGCTCACTCTAAATGAAAGCTCTGTTCTGACTCATTTTGGTCATGCAAATAATCTCAAAAGAAATGAAAAGTGATCTGGATTTGACCTAAATTCTATACATTCTCTCTACCCATATCCAAGTATACTAAGGTACAGAATAGTGAACATATACATAAATCACAATTGTATGCTGCTGTTTCCCTTGAGTTAGATAAGAGAAAAGTAACAGGACATTTGAATGCTAGAAACTTATTTCTGAAGTTCACACCTGTAAGAAATAGTGCTTAAGAGAGGGAAAGGTCAGTTAAAGGAGGGAAAAACAACTTCATGCAGTCAGTGGTCATGGCTGGGGGAAAAAATATGTTAAGCATTGCCAACATTTACTACGAATTTACAGGTTATACTAATGAAATCTCTACCCCGTTATAAGCCAAAAAAAAATGGTGGCAGCCAACAGGCTACACCTCCGCAAACCTGTAAGTCACTAACAGTACTTTAAATAAATCTCTCCAAAATTTACAGATCACTTGCTTCCATTGTGTCCATTTGGAATGGATACTTATTGAATTTACTCTCATTTCTTTTAAGCAAAATGTTTGATGCACCTTGGACAACAACATGGATGTGCAACAACTTCATACCATTTTCCTGTCTATTACTAAAACTGATATGCAAATTATTTGCTTAAACAACTGTTACAAAGCATACTTCAGACTGTGAACACAGGAAACTTAACAGAATACTTGTTTATGTGACAGGTTAACAGACAAGTTTGAATTCTTTTCCCCTTTGACACCCTGCAAACAAAATGGAGCAGGAAAAAAGGAAGGATAATTACATTGGAAGCGGCGGCAGTGTTGGTTAAGGTGGTGCCATCTGACACAGCAGACATCTGGCTCAAGGTTGGGGAAGGTGTTTCAGAGCAGTCAGTAGTATCAAAGCTACAAGTCTGCAGCTCATCTAGAATGACTGTGGAGGACTCACTCATTGTGCGGGAGGAGCACTCACTCATGGCAGAATCTGTGCTTACAGAGGCTGTTTCATTCTTGTGGATAGTACTTTCAGAAGCTAGGAATGGGCATTTATATGAAAATTGTGAAAGGGCTGGGGTTTTATAAAAGCGTGAAAAATCATCAAGCGTTGGCAAAGAATATGGTACTAGATGGGTGCCACTGTCTGGTGAGAAAGAGGCTCTGTTAACTGGTACCACAGGAGAAGGAAGAGGCAGTGGAGAAGCTTCTGTTGTTGTTTGTCTGTGTGTCTGTGAAGCATTTACCTCCATCACAGGGGCAGTTACTTTCTGGTTTCCAAGCTGAGATTTGAGGAAAAAAAAATAAGAAAGAAACAGATTACCAAATGAATAAATTTTTTTCCCTTTGCCTCTTGTTGCGTGTAGGAGAATTAAAAAAGCGTAAGTTTTTTCAGCAGCCCTAGGAAGTTCACATTCACATGGATTAGGAAATAGATCAACAACACTCTATATTAAAGTACAAAAACATGAAGGAAATTAATGTATCAAACACTATTGGAAGCAATGCCAGAAACTGTAGTGTGTTGAGGATGAATATATTCCATAACGTATTCCATAATTAATAACACTATTAAAAAAAAAATGAGGCTAGAGAACATCATTTTCCTTTTGTTTATAAAATGAAAAAGGTATATGCAAGTCTGATCTCCATTAATGTTGCTCCTTTTTTTTTTTTTTTTGTCAAAATACAGGTATCATTTTGAAATTAATATTAAGGTATAGATGGGTAGGACCACAAGCTAAAAAGAAGTGCTAGTATTGAATGTTCACATGACCTGTAAGATTGTCTATTTATTTATTTTTGCCTCTTTTGATTGAATACATCTTCTCCACTGCCTCACTGATAAAAATGTTTGGAAAACTTTAGAATTTCCAAGCACTCTGGAAGCACCCTGTCAGCCTACTGGATAAGGTGTAAGTATAGCTGCCTTTTCAACATTAGAGAACTATAGGATTGTTAGGGTATTTGATATAAATTTGAGGAAGGATAAGGGTTGGGAACACAAGTACAGGACAGGGATGATTTAGCACTGAAACAAAACACACTACTTGGCTGGCTTCAGCATCATTCCTTAAAAGAACTTGGGAATATCCTCATGAGAGCACTTCTGAGAATTACCACATTACAAACTTTATATTCTGATTATTTCATATCAGACACAGGCACTGTGTTTAAAACTTCCTGAACCTGGCTTTTTGTATCTGTAACTTTTTTTTTAATTAAAGGTATGAGAAAAGCATGCTGGTATCCAACCTTTGGTAGTTGTACAATTTTTTTCTATACTACATATCAGCCACAGACTATCCATCAGTTTTGGAAATATATCAGAATGCTGCCCACTTCAGCACAGAGCTGACAAGTTCTGGAATAGCTGCAGCAAAAGAACATTTGGGATTTTGATTTATTTAAAACAGAGGACACTGGGATGCCATATACAGCAATTACTACTTTAAAAAGCAACATTTACTCACAAATACCACATTGTTACTGATAACATTAGTATTTTTTTTCTGTGCTTGACATATGCAGATGTCTTTAATCATTTGAAAATGTTGTAAGTCATCAGATTAAAATGCCAAAATGGCATTTTAATCCACAATCTGAAACTATCTTTTAAAGCCTTTATAGAAGACTTGGAATGTAATTCAGATTATGCTACTTATAAGAGGTCATGGGGAATCCGGTCCCATAATTCTTGCTGAGATCAACTAAAAATTACAGAAATAATCTTACTGAGGTCAACAGGACCATTCCTCTGAATGAGCATTTCGGAAATTATTTTGAAGCACATCTGAGATACCCATCACTTATTTCAAAGTGTTCAGAAGAGTTGTCTGGCATTATTGGATCTATAAGGTACATAAAGATAGCCAGAACTTGCTGGCAAAATTAGAAGTTAAAACAGTAAGAAACAAAAGCCTGGTTGTTTGAACAGTTTAAAATTTAAACCTTATTCACAGTAATGTTTGAAATCTACAGAATAAAAACTAAAAATAATTTTAAAAATTCCATACATTAAGTCTGAAGGCTACATCTTATTTAGAAAAGTCAATTATTGAGTGAATGACTGTAAAAGAAAATACTATTGTTAGAGATAACTATTTTGTCACTGGAAACTTCAAAAGAACAACAGAATACTATCAAATTATCTCCAAAGGCAATCATATACACATGCAAAACAGCTGTTTATACAGCAAAATTAGCAGGGGCTTAAGTTATCTGCATTTATGTACTCATATAAGAAACAGTAATTTTACTCTTAGACACATAAAGGGAAAACAGAAGGATGCTTCATTATGGATTTCATCATCCAAGTCACAGTTTAGTATCTGCAGCAAAAGACATGAATCAGGAAATAATGAGGCGAAGCCAGCATTAAACTGAAGTTCTTGACATTGATGTCCTCTCTGCATTCCCAGAGGAAAAAGTGCATATCACTAAGCTAAAATATCTAAGTTGATCACTGAACTGCTGAAACAAAAAGCAACTGTACATAATCTATAAACCTAATAAGTTTTCTGGCTTCAAACAGATGATTACCTGCATGCTTGAGAAAAGTAGGGATGGACAACACAAGGAAAGATACTCAGGGTGCATCCAGAGAGCAAGTGAAACTGAATTCTTAAAGAATTAAATTAATTGTTCTTGGCAAATTATAGCTGATTTCATTGAGACACATTCTTAAATAGAATATAACATGGGTGGAAGGAATACAGCAATTCCAGATATTGATTCCCAACATGAAGATTCTCAGTTTTGTAGAATAAAACTGGAATGTTCTGACTGACTGCAGAATTCTGTCATATAGATATAGTCATCACTCTTGGGCAGAGTGGATGAAATAGTGGCTGACAACAACAGTATTTAAAAAAAAAACAACAGCACAAAACAAACAACAAAACAATAAAAAACTTGATCTCTCTGAACATGGAGTGTTGGTAAACACTAAATAACAAATATATTTAGCTACTACTAAATCCACATTTCTCATCACTGTGAAGAATATGAGAAAGACAAGGCTGAACGCATTTTAAAAAACAGTCTTTTACTACCAGTTCCATCCAGTTTAGGTTTGTTATTTTTATAGCCCAAGAAATGGTAGAAGTAGTCAGATGGATTACTGGCTGAACAATTCATTTTATCAATTAGAATGATGAAAAATTAGACTACATAATTCACTTGGGCTATGGAGCAACATTTGAGAGATAAATATCAACACAGTATTGAAGTCAATTGAAGGTCTCAAGCAGAGCTTTCAGTTGGTACTCAGAAACATTTACCTTCCATCAAATAACAGAATTTCAGGCCTGAAACTTTCAGTTTCCACCTGATTCACATAAAGTAGACAGATGTCCCTACTACAAACTTCATAACTAATCATCTGTCATTTTAATTCAAGATCTGTGGACTAGTGCAAGGTTACTAATGACACCAAAGCACTGGCCTTGCTTCAACAATCAAGACACAGATAGGGAAGATGAGTGAATAAATTCATTTTGTTAATGCATAGCAGAGTTTAGTAATCAACATTCAAATTACACTCATACACTTGTACAAATGGGTAAAAATACCTCTAAGACGATGTCAAAATCTTGAAACTGATGCTGCAAGTTACATTCCTGTGTCCATTTTTACTAACTAATCCTCTTATTCTAAACTCAATGTGTGGAGGTGATTCAGCCCTTGTGCAAAATGGTTTTGCAGAAGAGAAAAGGAAAATTATATGCTTGTTTTTCTTTGCTTGCCATCTGTCCCTGAGATATTGAAACCTGTCTCCTCACCCTCAACAATATTCAGTACAATCATCAAGTACTACCAAACAGTATCTGTATTAGATAAAGCTTTTCAGTAAAAATAGTGAATTACAGGTTTATTTTCATAGATTCACTTATCTACAGCCATGGGGCTGGACAAATAAACACCTTCATAAACATTTAGCTTTTACTTATCCATGACATCAGTGCTAAACTAAGACTTCAGTCATCTGTATAATTCAAGAAAACAGAACAAATGTTTTGCATCTTCACTTTTAGAGAGCGGTATCTAAAGTAAGATAGCACTCATGAAAGTGGGCACAAAATGAAGATTAAAAATACAAGGTGTTTATGCCAGAAGAAGCAGCTCAGAGTTCTTCATCAGTTTAAAATCTTTGCTTATTAAAAATGTGGATAACGAAACTTATGCTGTCTCATCCAAACAAGCACTGATTTCTCCGTTGAAAGAGACTGGGATATTTCTCTCACATTTGCAGTACAGCACTAAGTGGCAGGATCTCACAAGGTTTTAAGTAATATTAAAAAACAACAACAACAAAAACACAACCCACAACAATACCGAGCAATTTGAATGCTTCTCTTTTCACACATGCTTTTAAGGGGTTTAACCCCTCTCTGTGTAGGAGTGTTTGTAAAATGTCACTTGGTGAGTCATACCACACTTCTGCTTGCTCCTGAAGTTCCAGTAGATGAAAGGAAATGCAAACAGAAGAACAGACATAACAAGAGAAATTAAAGAATAATGAAAGAATAATGAAAAAGTCCATGAACTTCTTGAGCCACAGACACTCTCTCATTTTTAAAGCTGGCTGAATCTTTGTGTACTTTGGCACTATCATATAGATGTACAGGTGCCATACACACATAGGTACCCACACCTGCACAGCATTTCTCCACTTCCATTGCAAGAACCCACTGGCTCCATGTTTGGATCCTGATATGGCATATAAACATATCAATATTTAGAATTTATCTCTGAACATCGGGATGATGTCAGCTGAATTTTGCAGGCAAGCAAGGAATAAATGGATGCAGCTTGAAAGGCTATGTTCCTTGATGATCTCTGTGATCTGCTCAATTTTTTGTTATTTTATTCAAAAAACCCCAGTTGCCAAATTTCTAATTGTTCTTCCCACATACTGAGAATACAGGAAAATAAGTGTAGAATTGTCAAACAAGACACAACTATTTTTGACATTTGTCAGCCCATTGTAAAACAAAAATAAGTTCTAAAATAAAAAGAAATGCAAATTGTATTTTGACTTCTAAAGTTCTAATAAAAAAGCTAGAAGATAACATTTATGATCATTTGGATCACTAGAGTTTGAGTATTACTTTGGATGTTAAAAAAAGGTATTTTTCCTAATAAGTGTTAGATGTTGTAATACCACTTTTGTTTGAGAGAAGCTGATTTATTTGAGAATATACAAAGCACCACATTGTTAACAGGACAAACAACTATTTTTAAGTGAAAACACACAAATGCTCAAGTTACACTGGCTACACTCACATCAGTTCCACAGTCTGATGGCTTCTCTCGATGCTTGTTTTCAAAGGCTTGCAAGCCTCTGTCCTATAATTTTTGGGCCTATCCCAGCTACCATCAAAATATCGTGCTCAACCTTCCTGTTTCTGATATGATTTCTTTATTATGAGCCTTGAACAGAAAACACTAAATAGTGAACTGGCTCTTTTCAAGGACAAAGCAACTTGTTTTTCCTTAAGTACTCTAAATAATGCATATTTCAATAGAATAGTTTTGACAACAGTTTTATCTCTAATCTCAAGAAAGACAAATTTCACTGCAAGTCTTATGTGCTTCCAGTGGTTAATGGAATGGTTAATTCAAAAGCAGCACTGCAAGTTGTTGACCAGTAATTTCACAGAGTTTTGCTCAGATCAAAATTCCCGCTTCAACTTGAAGAAGAAAATTGACACATTACAAATTGTTCAACTATTCTATAGCTAACACAGAAACTTTTGGCTTCCACAGTAAAGACCTGATTGAGCATGATATTTTCAAAGAACAAGATATATTACTTTGTTGACACAGTGCTGTCAATGGGCTTCAAGTTTGCATGATTGTGCCATGTTACTTCAAAGTAGACACACTGATGTTGGCAAACTTGACAAACATAAATATGCCATGATGGGATCCTGGTTCAGACTAAGCTATAAGGCAGATATGCTTAGACCTACAGCAATCCCTACCAACTATTTGAAGGGCTTTCCAATTCAGATAACCTAGTAGACTGGTAATTAACTTCTAAAAAAGAAAATTCTTTATGTGACTAGGTAATGCAGAGAAAAAAGTTTATCCACAGATTTTTTTTTTTTGCAAGTATGTATTTCTTTTGTATTACTCCTTCCAGGCCTATTTTACCTGATTAATTAACTTTCAGAATGGTAATAAACCCTGCTAACTCTTCTAGACCCTAGGAAACTTTTTCCATCCTTTCTAAGACCTAGCTATCTGACCCCTGGACCACATGGCAATCTTTCAGTATAGGCTGTACTTCCTCAACAGCCTAGTATGACTCTTATCCACTGCAACCAACAATCATGGGAACTTATTTTTTAATCCTTGAACATGTTTTACTACATTTAATTATTCATCAAAACATGCTAATATCCCTTCCCTTCCTAGTACTGCATCTGATCTAGCTACTCTAAGAGGACCGTAACCAAGAAATAAGGAAAAGTGCTGTCTGTCAACTGCTGCAGATTTGATTAAGATTTTTGAATATATATATTTTTTCCCCAGTATATACCAGGCTTACTAGAGATGTTTTAAAAACTTATGTCTTTAAGGTAACAAATAACAATAGACAAGAACCACACAGGCTGCTTGCCATAATTTGTATCACTGGTGCATAGCAAAATACATTCACAGGAGGAATCTGAGCTCACTCCCACAGGTGATTTAAAAAAAAAAAAAAAGATTATTTTACATGTACATGAAAAGTGATCCTCCTATTACTACTTACTACGATGCTTGATAGCATCTCTTCATACACAAGACAGAGTTGCTTCTGTGAGACTGCTGGCTTGTTATTCCTATACTACGTGCTTGATATCCACATTTCTCCTGGATGAGATCAGTATAGAATTTTCATCTCAGTAGGCACAGGTTTTGCAGGAAACAGAAGGATTTAGAAATGCCTTGCCTTGTTGTGTAGAGGTGATTGACTTAAAAGACTAACTTAACCTATCACACAGGACTTCGAAGACAGCAAGAACTGCCCTGCTGAAAACACGTAGAAAATTATTTGGTGGGCCTAGGAAACTGCCAGAGTCACATTTGCAGAAAAAAACAACAACCATTTCTCACCCATATGCTATCCTTCCACAGCACCTATGTCAACACAGTGTTTTAATGATGCAACACCTCAACCTACAATTCACTAATTTCCTATTGCATTTGCACTCCATAAAGTGCTCACAGAGGAACAAGGAAGTCTACTTTCCAGCTCAGTTGCCTTTTCTTTTCTTTTCTTTTTTTTTTTTGGTACAATATCCTTCCAAAAACTATGTTTTGCTCAGATCTAGTTTGATTCATGTGACAGGTAGTTTTACCCAGAAAACAGAAGGTCTAACTTTGATAAAGTAAGTATAGCTAAAGAGAGTTAAGTGATTCATGAGTGATCTAAAATAAAAGATGGAAAAATTAAATATACCACATGGCATTCTGCAGCCTGTGAAGAAGGAAGAACTGTAGACTTTTGTCCCACATCCTTTGAAGACATCTTTGAAGTGTCTGGAGAAATACTAGGTGGATGTTCTTGGATTTCAGGCTCTGCATTATTGTCAGGAATGGGAGCTATCTGAATGGAAAGAGATGCTGTGTGTACCTCAGACATGGGGTTACAGGCAGGTGAGACAGGCCTTTGTGAAAATATTGGCATTTCAATGGGCTTGAGCTGTTGCTGTACATTACAGTGAACACCACTTGCTGGATCTTGTGTCCGGGTTAATTTAAGGGTAGATACCCTCCGCTTTTGAGGCTGCTGTGTTTGGCCTTGATGGAGAGTGGCACTTATACCAGCTACTGTGCTTGTGCCTACACTGGAGATAGTGGTCAGGGGTCTAGTGATTGTTTGTACATAGGACACATCTGTGTTAGATATCTGAGAAGATATTATCTTCTGGGCAGACTTCTCGTCAGTGTAATAGCCAGTATCTGTAGGAGGGTGTTTAGCTGGCTCAGTTGTTACTATCTGGAGATTAATTGCATTGTTGTGATTAGCTACTCTTGCTTTCTGAAAGCTTTGTTTTCTAGGTGGTGGCAGAGGTGCCTTATTTGCCAAAATCATCCACACACAGCAAAATAACATTGAAGAAGAAACAGAAAGAAAGTAAATGTTAGCAGGAGATATACTGTAGTTTGAATTCTAGCTTTAAATAAAGAAACTAAGACCTAAGGCTTTTACTCAAGATTGTTCAATACAATGAAAAACAGAACAACTCAAGTTCCCACCATCTTTTGCTGTAGGGGGCTGGACAATTTGTATTTAGAAAACTAGATGTTCCATTTGCTCAGAGTAAACTGGAATCAGACCCCAGAAACGAGTCTTTCTTTTCTTTAAAAATCACAATTATTACACTGAATAAAAATTAAAACTGTGGAATTCTTCATGATACTCTCCAAAATGTAATATATGATTTTAGATGACAACCTATTATTCACAGGTAATGCACATAAATACAACAACACACCTCCTAAAGCTCTGAATTGAAATATTTACAGAAACAGAACTGACATTCGTCTGTTGGTTCCTTTTTGAATGGATTAATGTATTTGCACATTAAGTGCCTTCTAATCGTATTGTTCAGCAAAACAAAAAAGCAGAAATATTATCTTATAATTAAAAAACCTTTATCCTCCAATATCCTGATAACCAGTGTACTATTTTTTTTAGTGTAAAATTGTTATAAGTATTATTTGAAGTTTGTGAATACTCCTAGAAAGCCGTGACTCACAAAAACATCCCCATAGGAATATCCCATCAGTATATGGTGTCCAGATAACACACACACAAATGCTAAAGAATGAAATCTGGTACGTTCAGTTTTACCTGAGTTGGTGATTTTTTGTCCTGTAGGTTTGGCCGCACACTTCTAAAACCTTTTGCTGTAAGAGATGAACTGCTAATGTCTCCATTCAGTGTCTCTCTGCTTCCATCATTGTAAGCTCTCCAAGCTTTTGTGAGGAAAAAAGAATCACATTTTTTTTTATGAGTACTAGATCCAGAAATTACAATCATCACAACAAACCAATTGTACGCAAACATGGAAATATTTCTCTCTTACACAACTGACACTACTGCTGATATTTACGTGGATGTTTTAAGAATAGGGCTATAACTTTGCAAATTTTTGTATCTTATTTATATCAATACTGTTCGTAGCAGTTTGTTAGCTCCCTACAACATTCTTATATACCGTAGATCTTCAGCTGAGGAGTCCTTTTCAGATCCTGGTGGTTTATCCCTAGTATAAAGCAGACTGAAATACTCTTTCAGGTTAGGTTCTTGATCTTCACAGCTAGATTTCAAAAAACATCACAGCTCAAAAAAGTCACTACCTGATTATTTGCTCCCATCTTCTTTTCAAATCTGAACACCACTTCAATTTTCTAAAGCATATTTTGTCTTAATAAAGACAGATATAATAATAAGAGCTAAACATCCAAAAGGACACTATCCAAATACAGTGGAAGATACTACACTGCCTCAACAAGTTACAGATTTGAAGACATAATATTGAAGAAAGAGGCTGAGATAAGTAACACATTATGTGAGCAGGCTTCTAAGTGGGGTGGGTGGAACTTGTAATCCTAAGTAAGAGAATAAAAATGATATAACAAGTCCCACTGAAGCTGAAGGTGTCAAATTAGCAGTCTGTGTGCTCCCACGCAACTCGTTTTCTGACAACATATACTGTTATTGCAAATACTGCTTCCCAAGTAAGACCTTAATTTGAGGTCTTAACCAACTGTAATTATTACAGATTCAATGGTACTTTCCTTAATGATTCTGTATGTATGAAGTGGTGAAATCAAAGGAAGGAAAATTGTTATATGTCGTCCTGTTAACATGATATTACAATGATTCATAAATATTGCTGTTTTATTTACCTGAATCTGGAGACTGAGAATCAGATCCTAAAATCAAGAAAGAACAAATATTAGTTTGTGTTATAAATGCTTGCATTGTCTTAATGTGCAGCTAACCTCACAGGATTAATTTTACAAGTTATGTTTAAAAAAAAACACCACAGTGACTCAGTATTCAATGATGCCAAGAGAGATATGTATGCTTCTATTAACTGGTCTGTTGCCATGACCCTGCAGATAAAAGTGTTGAATCAAATGGCATCATAGTGATCTAGTGAACACACTGAGATCAGATCAGAAAAACAGCAAACTATCTGGTCCATACTGCTACAACAGTTTATTTAAATAATTAAGCTGCTGATCCAATCAGTAAATGCTCATTATGAATACAAGGTTATATATATTTTAAGGAAATTACTGAGAATTATGTATCTATATATTAACTGTCTGCAATAGATGCAGTTAGCAAAACAATCTGCCTATAAAAACAAATAGCATATGTGAGTCTTTCTCATGTTGCCTATGGGAAAAACGTAGCTATGGTCCCCCCCATCCCTCACCTCACAGCTCCAGCTGTCTATATAGATGCATTCTTATAAACAGATCATCACCTTGTTTCCTTTTTGTTAAGGCCAAGTGTCTTTCAGGAGTATGGGAGTATTTACAATTGTATAAACAAATCCTACTTAAGAAATAGTACTTGAAAGTCTCTAAACAGCTAGATTTGAAAATTAGGAATAAACCTCTCTAGTAATTATTTTTTTCTCATGACACAGTTTAGAAACTCTGTAAAGTATGCAGGTATTCTTTTGCCCAGTTACCTGAATTCCTTTCTTAATTATGCCTCAAAATAGTATACTATATATAACTAATGTTTACTGTAGAAGTTCTACAGTGTGCTAAAAGTTATTAATTAACAACTGCTATTTCAGACAGCCAACAATAATATTTGCTTTTTTTTTTTCAGTACATACAGAAGTCTACTAGCATTTAAAATCTTGATATCAGAAGAAATAGCATTTTTTTAAGATCAGCTGAAAAGTTTTAATTCAAAACCAAGAAAGATGTCTAAAGGTTGACAGGATTTTTTTTTTTACCCCCCACCAGAATGCATGAAACTTCCTTCACCACTTCAGAACAAATCACTAATGGACACATACATACTGCCAGCACAGGGTAGATCAGAAATTCTGGTGTTTTCTTGGATTACTTAGAGATATAATAGTGTTTTTTCCCCTCTAAACAAACTAACGTCTTTACCTCTCCAAACAAATTGAAAATAATTTTTATGTAGAATAATCTAGCCCCAGTAGGACTACAGAATTAAGAGCACTCATCACTAGTTCTAATGCAATAGCACAACACATTACAAGGCTTGTACATGCTGAAATAAAAAATTCATAGAAAGACTGCTACGAAATAGAAACGTAATGCTTTCTTGAATTATTATACAAGCAGTAATCTCTATGACTGTTCTGCTACCCTTACTTACAAAGAGCAGTATCCAAATTTTTAATTTGTTTCAGAAATTCAAACAGAGTTCTTATTCCTGGGATTAGCCTTACATTACAAAAAACAAAGAAAACAGGGACATTACATCACAACTAGTTTCTGGCTCTCTGAAATTTGTGCTCATTGAACTTTATGCATTATAATCAGTGTGAACACTTAATGTTTATATTGGTATAAATTAGCCTACAACACTTGAGGTTCTTTATGGATTTATACTTACAACTACTTAATTCACGTTTGAATCTGGTCTGCTGACACCCATTAAGATTTCATCTTGTGAAATCAGACAGAAGAATGCGAAGCAGCAGCTCTCCCTACTGAATGCTCTCTATGGTTTTATTGTTCCACACATTTTTAGGAAAACATTTCATAAATGTTTTTAAATTATTCTGGCTTCTGATGATCATTGTACTTTTGCATACAGATTCTTTTAGGAACAGTTCTAAAGCCAGTTGTAATAAACATCCTCTCTTCATGCTGTATTATTTTGTAAAACAATGGGGGACATGAGACTAAAATCTGTGTTAGGTACCAAAGGCAAAGTTGATTTAAAAAAAAAAAAAAAAAAAAAGCTTCTTCCTAAGTCTCTCCATCTTTTTCCATCAATGACTACTGAATACTGGCAGAAAGAAATAAAAACTACTTTCTAAAGAGCACTGTAGAATTAAGGAAAATATCTGTCAGTAGAATAGAAAATATGGTTACCTTTCCCCTCCTTGCAGAGTGATATTGTTGACAAATGTAATGTTACAGAATGCCATTCATGAGCAGTATCTTACTGTTAGTTGTTATACCTGAAGCCAGTAGGTTTGGAGAACTCTGAACCCTCTTCACAGCTGTTAATGTGACAGACATTGCAGCACGTTTGCGAGCACACCCACCGCTATCTGGAAGCACAAAATAATACAGACACCAGCCCCAGACAAAGGAAGCAAGCACATGCAACACATCACAGTGTGAGATAAGCCAAACATACAAGAAAATAAACATGCAATTAGAGAAATGCTGCAGGTACATGTAAATTCATGAGTTCCACAGATTAGCAGAACACACAAACTTTCACAAGCTTTAGGAAACAATAAACCTCATACAAAATATGAAAGCAAATACCTAATACTAAATTCACAGTTGCCTAGAAAACTGCTTAATTATACCCAATAATTGAAAAAACAAGTAATCAAGATAAAGGATTAAGCATTCCAAAGTAATATCAATCAGTAATCTGCGCTGTAAAATAATTTCATTGTATGCATTAGGAAGACACCATTCCTCAAACTAAGCATATGTTAATTAGCTGACAAAGTACTTCTGTATGGCCCTTCAGAAACTCTAAACAGAAGAAACAAACTAATTAAGGATGGCATGCATTACTTTGATTCAGAGAAAACATTCCTGTTTTTTTCCTTTTTTTTTTTTTTATTTTTTTTTGTTCTAAATTTAATGGAGGATAAACACATGCATGTCTGGAACCAAACTATACTCCAAGGGAAAGACTTGAAATCTAAGTCTAAAATACATCTGAACAATTAGCAGTATGAAAAACCTTTCTTCTGGAACTGACTCTCCTCCTTTTATTCTTTCCTCCCTCACTTGGGGCTGTCATTCTGTCTTTAGCAGAACTTTGTTTTATAAGGAGGTGGCTTTCATACAATGTGCTTTTTTAGAAACTTCGTCATAATTATCAAAAATAGTAAATATCCTTCCTGATTATTTATCCAGAATATTTTTCTGCATTTCAACGTAATCATTATTTTAATTTTTGTATTTGATAATATTGAAGTTTCATATAAGCCACCACTTCTGACAAACTACAACTTTGATAGAGGCCCTATGATTTTTGCATGAGTCCTGTGAGAGGGAGTTATATAAAATTATATTTAAGGGAGGCCTACAACCTATTAGTGGAAAGGATTTCCTATAACGGTAATTTGAGCCACAGAGAAGACATCTTAAACCAATCTCCCAGAGAAATGAGCTGCAGGTATTCCCTTGCTCATTCCAGCATTCCCCCAAAATAGCAAGGATACACATTAAGCAGTTGTTAATGCAGACAAACATCTGAGTCACTGCCCCAGGTGTAAGGGGTTCTAAAGAGCCACTGTCAGCTCCAAGTCTGGAGGCAAAGGGCCAGATGATTTTAGCCAGCACCAGCCCAATGCATTACATTAACTGATACTAATTATCGGTACTGGACTTGGGAAACAGAAATTGGTTATCAAATTTGTTTTAATTTGCTTACATAAACATAGTATGGCAATGGTAATAAAAATCACATTTTCTGTTCTTGTGTCATTCTTCCCACTGACATAAAATGGAAATAATTCCAGGGAGACTTGACAGTCTGCTGATACTGACTTTTTGGTTTTATCTAAATGTGGGCAGACTTCAGCAATGCATTTATTTCATTAATACAAGCTGCAACTTTTTCTTTTTAATTCAAACTAATGCTTTGTTTGTATTTTTCAAGAGTTACCTTTTTGATTTTCAGCATAGAAAAGCTAAGATAGGAGAAAAGGAGGAGGAGACCAACTACAAATATTTAATCGATATAACTTCTATGAATTCTGCTTCAAATTCATCTCTAATGTAACTGAATGGAGTCACAATTTTGTATTAGTAGACACATTATCTAGCAAAAGATTTGACAGCTTCACACAGAAAAGATGAAACAGGCTTTGCAATAGACTATATGCATATTCATACACCATTTACCTCTCTATATAGAAGCCACCCTTCCAAATCTGTACCTGCTATAACATTCTCAGTATAAGTACACAATAATGGCAGAGAGTTGCTTTGCACTCAGGTGAGATACAACCATACAACTGCCTTCAGTTGTGCAACATATGTGATCAAACATGAATGACTATGGACAAGTACGTATTTAGGCCTTATGGATTCCTTCTTCCTATCTTTGTCCAGGCCAAGCTCCCATAAACCAAGGCCATCTGAATGAAGATCAGAAGAATCTGTGTGTTACCGCAAAAGATCCAGATCTGCATACAGCTGAACTTTGAGAAGCTTATTTCAGCCTGTACTCCTTTTTCGTAACTCCACCAAATTTCCAGCAAATGCTAACTTTATTCACACTGATTCCTGAAGCCTGAATAACCAAAAAGCTCTAAGTCTAGAGAACAGAGAATTCCAAAACAGTGCAGGAGACTGAATTAACAATCATTTTCTCACTTCATTTGCAAAATATAAGCAATTAATATTGCAAAGTTGCTATTCAATGAATAAATTAAGATAAAATCAATAAAAAATGCTTACACACATAAAAAAATGTGTGCACATATGTATACAGTCTGCTTCTGACATTAGAAATCCTTCTGGTCTGAGAGTCATAGCCTCCCAGGGATTGTTTTAATGTTTAACTATAAGCAACCTGAATCAGTTCTGCAAGCAGAAACAGACTTGAAGTCGGGCAACAGCTCGCAATCAAAAACACCGCTCAAAATGTCCAGCTCAAATTAGGCCCAACAGTGCTTGATATTCTCTTGCATGCCCTCCATACTCACATCAAACCAGGAAAAGACAAACAAGCATCCTCAGCAGGTACTGCAGAAAAGGAGGAGAAAACAGTGGTAGGAGGTATCTGGTGAAGCATGTTTCTGCTAGTATCTTTTAGAGCAAAAAACACGTAATGATGAACTCCTGAATACTATGATCAGTTTTGCATGTTTATCCCTGAAGAGAGAAAAAGAAAGAGCCCCACACTGACAGGAAGTGACAAGCAGGTTGCCCTACAGCTAGTAGTACGTGCTTATTTGCATACGTACCAGAACACTCCACAGCTTTGCTCTGCATGCTCTTTTTAATTAGGTTCACCATCCAGTTCTTTTTGCTTTGACAATTTTTTTCTCCTCTTCTTTTCCACTTTTCCACATTCTTCCCTTTTCCCCCCTTTCGTTTTCTTTCTGTATCTTCTACAAATAACTGAATTTTAAGTCCTGTGCAGTCCTCAGCTGCCTCTTCCCCTGCACCCCATAATGATTCCCATACCCTGCAGCAAACCCCTCCTTACTTCAAAAGCTGATCTGGAGTGCTGCACCGAGTGGTTTGTATTGGTGTGCTCCAAGCCTAGAGTCAAGGGCTGAGGCTTTCCTGGCACAGGCTTAGGCAAGGCCCAGACACTGTGCTTGTTCCTCAGAAGTCCTTGATCTGGGGTACTCCGTGCCTGCTCATCTAGGCTTGTGGAAATGTACCACTGATAGCTCCTGTGAAGTGGCTGGGAGTAGCCTGGCAAGTAATTATTTGGACTTGTCCTCCTACTGTCATATGCCTGAACTCCTCTGCGGGCGCTAAGCTGAGCTACTACCACAGAACCTAACACTGACTACTCAGGGGCATCTACTATTGCTTGGTTCTTTCATACTGCTAAATTGTGGCAAATAATGATTTTAAAAATTAAAATGTTGTAGGAGAACATTTGAACAATCAATCTGTATATTTATTTTAGTGATCCCAAAACAGCTTCATTAGCTAATAGTTTCTAACAGTCTATTCAGGGACCTGAGAATTTCTATTTTTGTCTCTCAGAGAATTTAAGATGTTAATCTATGTGATGACTTGCATTAATAATTTTAACAATTACAAAATATTTGTGGGCTTTCAGAACTGCAGACTTTTTCACTCTCAACTGCTCTTTATGTGCCTCATTTATTTGAAACAGACAACTTTAAAATTAGATGCATTTATTGAGCATTATCTGTGTGAAACACAGCCAAAACATTTTTGGATAGACACTAAGAATCTGTTTTAATGTATTAGCTTGCATTCATTCATAATTCCTCAGTGAAATTTCCTCTCTCCCAACAACAACTTCACATACTCACACCTGGTATAAGCAACAAGCACTTTTATCCTGTGCTGCAATCTGAAGTGAACTTCATTGGTGGCTTACATTTTCCAGGTCTTAGTTTCTCAAAATGCTCACCAAGATAATGATGGCCACCAAATCTGCAATACTTGAAGGCTTGTTGATGAAAATACCTCTATGCAGTTTAAAATATTATTCAGTTGATGAGTGCATAGTCTGGGTTTAAAAAGGTAATACAAAGGCACACATTCTACTAGACTACTATTTTTATTAACTTACAGCAAAATTAGAACACCAAAATCAACTACAAATTGAGATGCCTTCAGTACTTCTAAAACCTTTTCTATATCCAGTGTCTGTGCCCTTGCGTTTGCAAATACATTTCACTGCATTTAGCTGCTGAGTATTTCTTCCTAACATGTGGTACAGAATCAACATCAAGCACTGAAAAATCCCTCCCATATATGGTAGAGTAATGAAAACCAAAGCTCTTCAAAACATTTTCTCTGTAGACAAAAATATCTTCTACAGGGTTTGCTGAGACAGACTGCCAAGCCTGCAGCCACAGGGAATGCTGGGTTAGAGCAGCCCAGTCCAAGCAGTACATCAACTTTTTAAAGCTGCAAATAGACCAGGTCTGTTTGCTTTGCCATTTGAACAACTACTTGCACTGAAGAGAAAGTTTATCTGCTAAAGTAATTAATGGTAATCCTACTTTAAAACAAAATAGTGGCAAATTCACAGTAACCAAAAACCCTCTGATTTTGTCATTCAAAAATTTCTACTATAAAGCAGTGAAATAACAAAAAAATTGAAGGAACTTCTGCATTCTTTTCATGCCCTAAGACAGGTGACTGTGCCAAACATCCTCAGTCTCAGCCACTCTCCACCTTAGTAAAGCAATGCTTCACCAACAGGCATGTAAGAAGTTCACTTCTATGTCCTACTCATGGGACTTTTTCTTACAGTCAAGAAGTGACATACATCTGTCACTTCTGATATGAAATGCTTATGAAATGCTGCTTTTTTTTTTTTTTGCCAATACTTCCTTTTAGTCCAGCTTGCAATGTGCACATCCATAAGATGAAAAATGTTTTTACTACTTAAAAGCACAGTAGATTAAAGTCCAGCTTACAGTCATATCTTTAAGAAACTATGCAAGATCTTTAAGTGGTTTTCAAGTACCCTATGTGATCAGAAGAGTCAATCCACAACAGATGTCATTCAGACATATAGATGATTCAAATCTTTATGTCTGTTCCTCTTCAGAGTTTCAGACCAACTTGAGAAAT